TCCTGTGGATGCTAGACCCTTATTCTCAGTCTGTTGACAAGTGAAGAATTTAATTCGAAGAGGCTTTTAGAAACTGAGTTCTCTGTCAAGAAAGTGCATTTAATAGTGTGCACTATTATTTTTATGTCTGATCTTTTAAATGATTATACTTCATTTTATAACAATTCTATTGAAACTTAGTTATATTTTGTTGTTGACTCTTTCTGTTGTTTACCTATAAATATACCAGCATTTTACCTCTATTTGGCTTAATTTTTGAGTTTCGGTTCTGGGGATGGGAGGAATGTGAAAAGATGTTAATGTTGATGGTAGTTACAATAAAAATTAAGTGAGACTTAAAATTTACATTTCTGTTTTAGTAGATAGTGTCCTGAAAATTATCTGTTCAGTAGACTTGCTTTTAGATTAGCAACAGAATGTCTGCTTCTTATTTAGTCTGAAAGACCAACAGGTTTTGGCTGTGAAATTCTCTGCTGTAGTGTTTAGAGTTCTAAACTTGAAATAGCTAAAATATATGTCACACCTTCTAGTAGTGCACTGGTGTGATTAGGCAAATGAAGGCTTGGGCAATGACTGGAATATTTGGAGCCACCTAGGTTTTTTTCTTGTTTTTTTCCAATGACAAAAGGTTAGTTTATTGGGGAGGAGTGATGGAAAATTTGGAAAACATGTAATGATATCAGAGGGTATTAGAAATGTTAATAATCCAAAATAAAGTTTTATCGCAAAATTTGCACAGAACTATATTTACCAGGTATTTTCTTGCATTGTTTAAAACTGTTCACTAAGAGTGTATCTATGCTGTAGGATTATTGCAGCCTGACACCACTTTAACAGCCATGGCCTGATGCTATGGAATTTTGAATGCTATGGAATTATCGGAGTTATAGTTTTAGCCCTTTCTACCAAAAAATGCTGGTGCCCACCAAATTACAAATGTCCTGATTTAATAGCATTAAGCCTTGGTATTTCATAGCATTAAGCCTTAGTGTCATATAGCATTCTACAGTGTAGAAGCACCATGAGTTTCACCAGCCTACAATGTATGGGTTTTTAAAACCAAAATAAAACCAGGAGGAAAAAAAGACAATTCATTTTGTCACACGGAAGACACACGAAAATTGGAAAAACAATTCATTTTGCCACTGTAATACTTTTTGTCTCCCACAATATAACATATTGCTTTTTGTGGTAGAAGCATAATGAGGAAAAAAAACCTGAGTGCTTAGATGAGAGATGATCTTTCTCTTGCACAAAAGTGGGTGAGGAACAAATGAGCACTCACTTGATTTTGTCTAGGAAGGACTAAGTAGACATACTGATGGCATGAAAGGCAGATATGGAGATCTGGAGCAGACAGATAATTTTCCCATATCACAGCCAGAGACACCTTTGAGGCATAGCCAGGATTAAAGAATGATCTAGTCTGATCTTGGAAGCTAACTGGTCTCATTCCTGCTTAGTATTTGGATGGGGGGGGGGGGGGGGTGGCTACTAACTAATATGCGGTGCTGTAGGTTATATTTCAGAAGAAGTCACTGGCAAAACTAGTTCTGAGAATTGCATACCTATGAGATCCTTATGAAAATCATGTGATATCATCATAGTTTGACAGACAATTTGAAAGTACATAAACACACAAAGAAGCATAAAATAGCACTAGAAATGTGTTGTCAAAGGCTTTCATGGCCGGGATCACTGGGTTGCTGTGACTTTCCCAGGCTGTATGGCCATGTTCCAGAAGCATTCTCTCCTGACATTTTACTCACATCTATGCCAGACATCCTCAGAGGTTGAGGGGTCTGTTGGAAACTAGGCAAGTGAGTTTTATATACCTGTGGAATGTCCAGGGTGGGAAAAGGAACTCTTGACTGCTTGAGGCAAGTGGGAATGTTGCAGTTGACCACCTTGATTAGCATTTAATGGCCTTGCAACTTCAAAGATAGGTAGATTGTTGCCTGGGGAAATGCTTTGTTAGGAGGTGTTAGCTGGCCCTGATAGTTTCTTGTCTGGAATTCCCCTGCTTTTTGAGTGTTCTTTATTTATTGTCCTGATTTTAGAATTTTTTAAAAGCTGGTATCCAGATTTACAGAGAAGCCATTGAAATTCACAAGCATGTGGACAATTTCAACAAAACGTAGGAAATCATGAAAATGAACCACTTTTAAAAAGCTCTAAAATCAGAAAAAAACCTTTTAAAAAATCTCTAAAAATAAAGAGAGAAGAGACTGTGTGCTCACAAGGTACATGCAGCTTGAAATATGGAAATAAGACAGACTTGTATTTCTGTAATTGAGAAAAAAGTCACACCTTACTATGTGTACATGTGAGGTAAAGGTAAAAGTTTCCCTTGACATTAATTCTAGTCATGTCTGACTCTGGGGAGTGATGCTTATCTCCATTTCTAAGCTGAAGAACTGACATTGTCCGTAGATCCCTCCACGGTCATGTGGCCAGCATGACTGCATGGAGCACTGTTACCTTCCCGCAGAAGGGGTATTATTAATCTATTCACATTTGCATGTTTTCGAACTGCTAGGTTGGCAGAATCTGAGCCTAACAGTGGGAGCTCACTCTGCTCCTCTTATTTGAACTGCCAACCTTTTGATCAACAAGTTCAACAGCTCAGCGGTTTAACCTGCTGCGCCATCACGGAGGCCCTGTACATGTGAACTGAGGCCACATTCCTCAAAAGCATGAAAAGCCATAGGGCCTGTGTTTCAATTTACTGATTTCTTCTTGAAATTATGATCAGCGGTGCGAAATACAGGTTGAGCATCCCTTGTCCAGAAATCCAAAATACTTCAAAATTGCTCTGTTTTCCGATGGCTCAATTGCTCTGTTTTCTGATGGCTCAATGTATACAAACTTTGTTTAATGAAGTTTTTGAAAAAAAATGTATATAAAACTACCTTTGGGTTATGTGTATATGGTGCATATGAGACCTACAGTTTTTCATTTGTAGAAAAAGCAATTGGATTGCAAAATAATTTTCAAGTGATTATTTAAAAATACTCCAAGAACATTTTTTCCCACAAGTATGGTGGGTCTTTGGCATCCATGGACTCCAGATTTGTGATTTCATGCTGATGCATGTGTGTTCATGTTACAGCCATTTAATAATATGGGGCTTTATCATTCACTTTTTTCCTATCTCTGTCATCCCAGAACGGAATTCCCATAGGTAAGGCTGGCCCACTGTACTAGTCACAACATTTGTTGATCTCTGATTGATATTGGTGATAAAGCGTATCCACGATGTTGGGGTATCTTTCACCAATGGGTCACATTTCCAAACATGAGCTAATTATAAAGAATACTTCCATTTGAAAAACGAGCCAACCCCTGCAGAGATAGATGAAATAAGAGAGGCACAGGCTTGCCAATTAGACCAGTGCTCATTAAGTTCACAGACGTCAGATTTTACAGTGATGGAGTGTTTCAAATAACAAATCATTACAGATGATATCTTGTACGTGTAGCACTTTAAAGAGTCAAGGTGAAATATCTGATAGTGGGTAGACAATTCAGATTGTTACAGCAGTAAGAAGTAATGTAGTTTGTGGTTTTACATAACTGCATTAAGTCCTTTTGTGGGAAAACCTCTTGATTAAAGTTACATTGAATCCTAACACTGGTTGAATAATGACAGTTCTGAGATGTTGCTCTTAGTTTTTATTATTACAAGGATCACCCAATTCCTTCACACTTCAATAACCTTTGTTGTGTTCATTATACTGGGCTGATATGTAGATCTTCTAAAATGCAGCGTTCTTCTTGTAGTTGTTGATTTCAACTTCCAAATGTAGTTTCTTAGAAGATCTTAAGTTAAAAGCGGTGCTTTGAAATTAGAATAACTTTTAGTAATGTAGATTACTGTTGGGCCATGCTGACATGTGGCTTTATTTTTATCTTGGACAAAGCTTGCTATTTGTCATTTTAATTTGAAATATATTTAAATACATTTACAATATATTTAAGATTAATTTCATGTCATAGATAATAATTAAATAAGCAAGTTAATCTTGTTGTGAACATCCTCTAGATGTTCTGGGATCACAACTCCTAGCATTCCTCACTGCAGAATGACATGAGTCCCACCTTTGGGTTAGAACAGGCATGGGCAAACTTGGACTCTCCAGTTGTTTTGGACTTACTGGCTATTAGTAATTGTGGGAGTTGAAGTGGAAAACACTTGGAGAGCCCAAGTTTGCCCATGCCTGGCTTAGAAGATGATTGTTAAGTTTTGGCAGATTTTGACATGGACTTGAGATAGTTATTTTTCTTGCATATCATAGGGTCATAATATGTAACTCAGTAAATTCCAGTAGGACGTGAAATTACCGAGATTTGCATTTAGCAAGATGTAATTTAAGAGCCTTCCAAATTTGAATGCCTTTTCTTTTTTGGTTATATAGGGTTAGCATACATTTCTTTTTCAGCAAACCTGGATCCAGGAATCCATGGCTGTTCTCTGCTACAAAGACTGGGGTTTCAGTTTGCATGGGAGAAGGAATAGGTGTTCCGAGCTCCTTAATTCCTTAAGTGTGATATCCCCACATTTTCTTTCCTTGCTGCCTTTTCTCATTTGATATAGCAAGTCTCTATCTGGGAAGTTGGTCTAGAAGAGAAGTGTGGACAGATTTTGCAAGGAAGAACTTGTGTTGTGTATGGTTGAGTGCACACACTACCTTGTTCTTTTTTTAAATATATTTTCCCTATACCTTGTAGCAAAGATGCTCTGGTTGGGATTCCAAGATCTGTGTGCTGCCCCCCCCCCCCACCCCCAATCTAAATTCATACAATCTAAAGGTAAATTGTTGAGTCTTCTGTTGTTACAAAAAGATAGGTTTAAATTACGGTAGATGGATTAATTACAGAGAAATCACTTTCAAGGAATTATACAAATTAGTGGCAAGTTAGATCAAATTTGTTATTTTTTAGATAATTTATCATTCATAGCTTATTTTTCTTATGGTATTTTTCTTGTCTTTCTATAGGGATTAAAGACACACAGGAGTCTTCATGGATATAGTTGATACATTTAACTATTTAATTCCTGAACACTTAGATGATGCCCTATTTCTGGAGAATGAAGTCTGTGAGGATTTTAGTACAAGTCAAAATGTCTTAGAGGATTCGCTGAAGAACATGCTCAGTGATAAGGACCCTATGCTAGGATCTGCAAGTGCTCAGTTCTGTTTGCCTGTTTTGGAAAGCACTGATCCAAATTTCCAGATGCCTTGTTCAACAGGTAACTCTTAATGTTTTTTTTTAATTTACCCTTTGAAATAGAGGATTATTGTAGTATTCTTCTACCTTTCTTTCAAATCATGACTTTTTCCTGCCCTTTGATGGCTTGAAACGTAAGGACAAGTTACTACTGTTCCTCTTTTTATCTGATGTGTGTGTGTGTCTTCAAGTTGCTTTTTGACTTATGGTAGCCTTCTGAATTTCATAGGTTTTTCTTACTCAGAGGTGGTTTTGCCAGTTTCTTCCTCTGAAATATACCCTACATTACATAGTATTCCCAAAGTTATTGAGATTTAAATGAGAGATAGAGAGGTATGCTTTACACTATATGAAGTTAGAAATTTTCTTACGAGTGTAAGAATATGGTTTGTATCTTTCATAAGTAAATATAGTTTATAATGTGTACTTTTAGGCTGCATTTTTTGAAATTGCTCCTGCTAATTTCAGAAATCTTTAGTGCACAGCTTAGAGAAGTGATTGCATACGCATTTCTCAAAGCATTTCAGTCTAGTGATCTGTACTTTGACACAGAACGTTTCTGGAAGTTATGCTTTTTTCCCACATCTTTTGCCCAGATTGGAGATTTTTAGTAGAACCAACAGTGAGAGGATGGTGGAAGAAGACTGGAGAAATATAGTCTATTGGTATCATGCTATTATAGCATGTTCTGTAGTAAACGGTGCAATAAACTGGAAAATAATGGGATTGTGCTCAGGCTGACCTTGCAGTAGCTGTGCATGCCTCCCTGCAATAGGCAATGTACACAGCAGCTGCCTTCAGCATATGCAAACAGAAAAACAGAGAAGCAAAATACAGGTGCGCTTACCTTTCTCAACTACACTCAACATATTTAAAAACATATGCATTCCTCCAAAATGGAAATGTTTAAAGAAAAATCCCTAGCCTCTAAAAGGAATACATTTTTTCTTCATGCAAGCCTTATCTGACTTGATCTGCAAAGCTATCTGTGTTTTTCCATGTTATTTCTGTTTTTGGTACCATCTTCTTAAAGACATACTACCCAGCAACACATCTATTTCATTAATTTAGTTATACCTGAAACTTAAATATAAAACATGCTGTGAAGATCTTCAGAATAATAGTTCTAGAATATATAGGACTTCATCTAGTTGTAGCTGTTGGACTCTGTTAATTTTGGTGTTCTTGACTTCCTGTCTCTGGGCAATATGCCTTGGGAAATTTCCCTTGGTCCCCAACAAGTTTTCTGCCCCTCCTGATTTTTATTATTGTTTAATATTTAAAAAATATGCTAGCACAATACTAGTTTTTCTCTGCCCAACAATTTCTTGCTTTTAGTGAGGTGAATATTTTTTCTGAGTTTGAGGAGGGGACAAATATATGACTTGATATTCAAGGCACATATATTTGCAAATTTAGTTTTTTATTCTGTGAAGTAGATGTTGGAGTAAAAAAAATGCAGTTTTAAAGTACTAATTTTGTGTTTTTGAGCTCAGATCTCCAACTTATGCTTTGTAAGTAATTTCTTGGACTTTGCACACCCCAATTTGGGAAATTAGTGTTTTATGACTAGCCAGGGCCAACCGTAGTCATTTTATGAACGGGCAAACCTGTGACTGTAGTAAACTAAAGGGAAACTTATGAGAGCATCTACACCACAATCAAAACTCCCAAGCGTTTGCAATTGCCAAGAAAAAACTTCTGATTTAGTATTTTCCATACTCATAAAAATAATCTATCTCCCTTTCTCATCATATTCCAACTAGTAGTCTGTTTTTCCCATGTTACTGTTGCAGCCTGTGAATTTCACATCTGTCTTTGCTATTATTGTATAAAATAGTAGAATAGATTTTGTGATCATGGATATAGATGTGCAGTTAAACATGCTCCAGATGAAAATTGTTCTGCTAATTGAAGGCATATTTAAAACTGAGAACATTGTTCAGGGATGTTTAACATATAGTAAATATTCCTATTCTGAACAGAAGGTTCAAGAGGTCAGTCTTTAAAAATATTTGTATCATGATATGTTCATCCATCTCTGTTCTGAATGATCTTTACTGATTTAGTATGGAATCATCTGTATTGCAGTAATCTCCGATTAGGATTAAATTATGATAGAGCAGTTATGTTACCGTATGTATTGTGGTAGAAATAGGGGTTTCTTTCTTTAAAAAAAACATTGAAGATTTCTTGTAAGTATTCATGGAAAGTAATGCTGTATTGGCTGTATTTTCTCTTGGCATAGATTTTCTTTGGCCGTCTCATGAAATGGTACATGTTGATTATTCATTCAGAATGTTGGTTAATTCTCTTGTCTGTTGAGAGTAGTCACATTACCTTGAAGCGAGGAAGAACTCAGTGTTGGAGATAGCTAAACAGCTTTTAAGTACATGATATCCATCTCTCTGGTGTGTGTGTGTGTTTTCTTTTTGTTTGTTTGTTTGTTTGTTTTTTGCAGGGGGCAGAGGTGTAAACATTTTTAAAATCTTATGGAGCTATTGAGTGGGGCAGAGTAGATATCTAATTTAACAATGTGCCATTGTCATGTATAGCTTGAAATGCAATTATTTGGTTTGGTTTTCTGAAATTTAAATAATTCAAATATAATTGCAAATATATTCAGGTTGTAGACCAGGGGTCCTCAAACTAAGGCCCGGGGGCCAGATACGGCCCTCCAAGGTCATTTACCCGGCCCTCACTTAGGGTCAACCTAAGTCTGAAATGACTTGAAAGCACACAACAACAACAACAACAATAACAACAACAATTCTATCTCATCAGCCAAAAGCAGGCCCACACTTCCCACTGAAATATTAATAAGTTTATATTTGGTAAAATTGTTCTTTATTTTAATTATTGTATTGTTTTAAAGTGTTTTTGCACTACAAAAAGGGTATGTGCAATATGCATAGGAATTCAAATTATATTTTTTTTCCAAATTATAATCCGGCCCTCCAATAGTTTGAGGGACTGTGACCTGGCCCTCTGTTTAAAAAGTTTGAAGACCCCTGTTGTAGACGCTGAAAAGTGATGACCCACCTGGATCTTGGATGTTTGTCAGCTGGGAATAGTTTTTATTCACGTATCAGTCTAACTTAATATATAAATGGGGGCACATTTGCGTGCCAAAATTAAGGATGTGGTTACAAAATGGTCTAAATCCAAAGAGTGTTGCAACTGCTTCTCTGTTTCTTAGGAAACTTTGATTTATTTTATTTTTTGAACTGTAGCTAGCCTTTTCTGAGGACAGAATTCATTTGAAACTAGTGCAGTTTGTTAAAGCACTGGAACCTACTGTGTAAAGGAATTAACTGAAGTTTTTGGGAAGCAGTTGGGGATTAAAAGAACATCTTATGTGTCTTCTTGGCCACTGACAATTGCCAACTCTTTATTTAAGCAGAAACAGTACAGTAGGATTGCATGTATCTACCGAGAGTACATTCCAAGACCATAAACTATAGATAAGTGAATTTTGAGTATACTCGGGGCCAGAAGCTTACCATATAATTGTACTGAAGGACCTGGAGAGCCACACAAACACTTCAGCGGGCAATGATCTTGGAGTGTGGACAAATTAACCATGGATATTAAATCTGTGGATAAAGGAATCATACTGTGTTTGACAAAGTAAAAAATATTTTATGGCTGTTTTTCATGCAGATTAATTATATGTTTTTTCCCCTTTTATTGTATTGTATTTCTGGATGTGGATAGTAAAACATGAAACTGGTTCTAGAGCAATCTAATATCAAATATTATATCATAAACTGTGACATCCAAAAGCTGAAATCTGAATTAACATTTGCAATTAGAGAGTACATCCTTTTAAAGATACTCTTTCATATATGTACAACAACAACAATTTTTATTGATTAGCCTATTGGCCTTATCAAAAACAAACAATGCAGACATAACATACATCTAGTCCTCTTAAAATAAAATACAAATATACAGGTAGCCATATATATGCATCAACTATCCTCATCTCCCCTACACTGCACCCCAATCTGATCTATGTACTCTGATCTCCTTTTAGCAGCTTTAAACAGATAAAGGGCAACTTGTGTTGTCAGAATGGGCCTATTACCAGCCAACAGAAATTAGGTTTTGGCTGCTGTATCCCAACTTGTTTTATTGCAAATAAAAGGCCATAAGTATTTTTCCTTTCTTTTGCATATAGATTGCATTGATGTAAAATGTGGTCCAGATTTTCGGCTTCAGGGGCACCGCAGATACATAGCCTTTCTTCGTATGGGATATGATTGAATCTGCCGTGTCTCTCCATGGATTCAATTTGTTCGAATCTTGCCCTGGTAAAAGTGGTTCTTAGGTGTGTTGGCATGCCAGCTTTTAGGTATGGTGCCCTCTGGAAATGATGTTTAAAACTCCCTAACCACTTCAGGGATCCTGTGTTTGACAGGGTGGCTATATCTTTCTGGGCTTCAATATCTAGGATCCTTTGAGTTACTGTCCTTTTTTCAGCATCCCTATTCTGGCCTAAGGAGGCAATTTGTAATCTGCAGGTGCGGAGGAATCTTGTTAATTGTTCTGACCAGGAGGTTTGGTTTTGGCCATTAGATTGTTCTAAAAAGCACAATTTTGGAAGTCTATTGTTTTTGAGGTTTCTTATTTTAGACCAGTAGTTAAAGGCCCTGATTTTAGCAAGTCATTTTAGCCAGAGTCTGTTAGCTGTTCTTGGCCCAGCCTTCAGCAAGAAGTACAGTGGGCCATTGGTACCAGCTGAGGTTTGGTTCCAGGACCTCTTGTGGATACCAGAATTCATGGAGGCTCAAGTCCCAATATAAACAATGTAATAGTGGATATATATGTAAATATATAAAATCTCAAAATTAAGTTTTCCTTTTTGGATATTTTTTGGAGGGATGGAAAGCTATGGGTGTTAGAAGGAATTGATTTTGAATCTGTGGATATGAATGGCTGTCCATGCAGGTTTTAGTTTTCTAAACTAGATCATAGGAAAATCTGACCCTGTGTTCTGTCTTCAGAAGCCGCTAGCCA